GAACCCTGAAACAACCTCTGGGCCAATCTAAGTCAGGGCACGGCTAACTCACAGATCAAACCCTGAAACAACCTCTGGGGTGATCTAAGTCATGGCATGGCTAACTCACATATCAAACCCTGAAACAACCTCTGGGCTGATCTAAGTCAGGGCATGTCTAACTCACAGATCAAACCCTGAAACAACCTCTACTTTTATAACCCTAATACCAAGTTTAATCAATTCATATAGTATCTTTAGCCATATATCATATATATATCATATATATATCATATATCTTTAGCCATATACCATATATCATATATCATTCATATATCTCACCTGCTTGGGGCTGGTACTGAAAGTAAGAACATTTTATGCATTCCTTAGCTTCTTTTTTAGTGCTGAAGCTTCCTGCAGGGCATGGTGTACAGGTAGTCTGTGGTGCCAGAGTGCCAACCTTAAGTATAGAAATAAATTGTCACCATAAATTTTTGTCACCTCATTACAGGTGCAATAGTGCTAGGATGTTTTCAATCTCGGTTATCGGACCAACATAACTGCTTGAATTTAGGACCCATATATTAGTCGTGGGGAACAATTAATATTGACAGCGTAGGGAGCCCTTTTTATCACAAATCAAATGAGAAATCGGACACTAACATTTTAAAAAAGAATTTCTTTGACCGTATTTGTGTAGAATACATGTATATAATTTTGGTTTTAACATGGGCCCTGATTAATATCCCTAATTTAAAACCGGTGAATAACTTATTAAAGATAACTTTAACATCTGTGTCTATACAAGTTATATATTATGAGGACATGCAGACATGACCTCATGTTCTGGTTTAATTAGTCCCTTCCCCTCCCTAGTTGAAAGTCTGTTCTGCAGTCTTGACCCAAAAACAAATTTGAGGTCTTATTCTTTGTTATTTTGAGCTTTAACTCACCAGTGTAATGGACCTGATGAAGGCTTTGTCAGATACTCCTCGGTAAGAAAGACCGTAACAGTTCTTGCGGTAAACCCACTTCAGCTGATGGAAACCCTGAAAGACATTTATCAACTTGATATTAAGATTCCAGGCATTCCAGCCACTTTTTAGACAAATTTGATAGGAAATATAGGCTGTGCAAGTTCTAAATATAGGAAATATAGGATATATAGGAGGTCTGGGATGCCTGAGATTCACAAGATTTTCTCAGAAACAATTCCAGTTGCTGATTTTGATGGAGCAGCCAGACAAAGGGACATAGCCAGGATTTCCTGAAGATYGAGGTTCCAAATTCAAAATTCCACTATTTCGTTTAAGCCCCAGAAATTCCAAACCAAAAAAACTGGCATTACGCTATACATTTTTTTTTTTTAACAAATATGAGAAAATTAAAAATTATCATATAAATTCTAAAGCCTGTGATTTTGTTGCAATGAGGGGGCTAATCACCCACTCTCATGCGCTGTCATGTCATTGGCTCAAAGGATGTAATAAGTATATTTCTTACTATGACTGCATTGTGTGCTGCGCCGTTTCATGTCCATAGAAATATGGTGACAGTATTAATAGGTAATCATATGGTTTTGAGTGCAATTTGGAATTAATTTGCACAAGTGGGTTTTTTAAAGAGTTATTCACCAAATTTCAGCACTAGCTGTCACACCGTATAAATCATTTTGGATTGCGTTACGGTTCCCAAAAAGGTCAGACACTGTTCTTTGATTCCAATACAAATTTATTGACTTTCAAACAAATTATTGACTTGGTTTGTTTATCAGTTTCTCTAAGTAGCAGTAAGAAAAGCTTCAATGAAGTTAGAAAAATGATATTTTGCTTGTATTTAAGTTTTTAAGTTAACTCAGCAAATCAAGTAAATAGTTCATTTAAAGTCAGTACATTTGTACTGTAAAATCCAAGAACGATGTCCAAACTTTTTGGTGACCGTAACACAATCTAATAAAATTTAAATACCACATGATGGCTAGCCCTGAAGTGGTGAATTGATAAACATTTTCAAACTTACACTGCAGTGCAAATTACTTTTTTCTGCAGCTGTATTAAATAACAGCACTGCTCTTGGCCAATCAGAATCAAGTACATTTTTTATGTATGTTATATATTATGCTTATTATTAATCTACAGTATAACTTACTGTGGTCACGTTGTATTTTGCTATCTTCCAAACAAATTGATTTCCAGTGAAAGTCATTATCTCCGTGTTGTCAACATAAAATGCCAAGCCGTCACACCCAACGTAACTACTGTAACACTTTCTCCCTTCAATTCTGTATTCAAACTGTACATAGCTGTTTGGTTCAACAAACTGCTTTCTCATGGTAAGAACAGAACTCATGCACTTTGTTTTGGAATTGTCACCTGAGTCCAAGCTGTCATTGAAATCTAAAAAAATGGGAAATGAAAGATTTTTAAAAATGGGAAAATAGAAATAGAAATAATGAAAAAATGGGAATGAAAAAATGAAATGGAAATGAAAACGTAGGGTTGAAAAATGAGTTAGTATTTAATCTTTGGTACTGTAAATGCAATCCTTTATTAATTAATAATTTAAAATAATATTAATAAGAACATTTGCTGCTGCTGCTACTACTACTGGTGATGATAATGACATTATTATTATTAACCTAAATACAATTTAATGCACATGCTGTATCCTTATGAATGCAGTGAGACAGTCGAAATAAACACTTTTAGACTCTACTTCTAATAAAAAATACTTCATTTACTAATTTTTTTCTAGTAGACACACAAGCCTGAGTGAATACACAAGAAAACATGAGTGAACAGTGGTGAGTGGCAGGATATTCCATGGCGTGCCAAAAACAATAGCATATTATTAAATTACACTCTACACACTATTGCCTTCAAACAATTATTGTTTTAAGTTGAGGCATTAATTTGGATCTCAATACAATATTTTAAAATTTTTTTTAAATAATCTTTATTCCATCCATCAAAAAAGAAAAAGAGAAAAATATTTACAAATACATAAATACATATATAACATAATTTTATATCTTTACAAAATCAAATGTCAGGAGAAAACATTTCTTATTAGAATTTATTTAACATTTTCAGTACTGTGTACAAAAATTTTTTTATTTTGTCTATTGAAAGTCTAAATCTAATGCCTTTCTTATATTACAGAATTTCTTTAGGTGATATTGTTTCCTATCATTTTTTAAACCTATATAGTATTCTACTTTCTCATGATATCTTAGATATGCCTTGAATCCTGTCAGATCCATCTGGCTCAAAAAACTCGTACATCTATAGACATAGGACTTAAAGATTAATATGTTGAAATTAATTAGTATAGCATCTGATTTATCGCTGTTTCCTAAAATCATTAAATAGGTGTTTAATATCGGTAGGTCTAAGCTATAATTCTTAAGCCATTTCACTATCCCGCTATATAAATTACGCATAGTTTCACACTTAACAAAAAGATGTTCTATTGTTTCTATTTCTTGTCGACAAAAAGAGCATAAAGGGCTATCTATTATCTTAAAACGAAACAAGTCTTTGTTAAGATATAGACAATTAGTAAGTATCCTGTACTGAAACCACCTTAGTTTTGTCTCTATTGTGATGTATAGAAACTGACACACAATTGAAGACAATTGAAATTCTTTTGTCCTCCAAATTGAGCTCTAATATTTTCTATTGTATTTAAGTATTTTATCCCATGCCATATTGAAAATACATGTGATGGGGAAAACACTGCTGAATAAACAAAAATTTTCCTGTAATCTGGATGATATTTTCTAAGTGTAGAATTACAGTAATGCATGTCAATATTTAAGCTTAAAACTACTCACAGCTTGCTCTCCAGTGTTCGCAAGGCTTGACAAAACTGCGATGGGTTTCACAGTAAGTAGTAATGCCAGACTCTGTTGGTGGAACTGTTCCATTTTTGGTCCAACTTCCCCAGTCACTGATATCTTCTCCCCCTACGCTGTAGGACCCAGGAGAACATATAACACATTTACTTTTTGACAGGCCTTGGCCCGGCGGACAAGCACATGGTACGGATGTAGGATTTTTAATAAGATTTAGATCTTTCAAGGTGCTGTAAGTAAAAGTACAAAGAAAAACAAGTTAGAAAAAGAGTGTTAACTTATCACAAGAATAGGCCCTTTGCAGTTAACGGTCACATGTCTGTACTGGACTGCAAAATTTTTGTTATTTTATTAAATTGGTGATTCTTTTTAGCTACTTGTAAAGAACTGAATGAAAACATGTACGAAATGCAGTTTTATTACGATCTCTCAAAACAGATCGCAGAAAGTTTGTTTGCAGTCCAGTATATTTCACCTATGGGAATAGCCCATTTGCAAGATATGTTCATTGATTTGCTCTCAGTGAATTAATCAGCACGTGATTACTGAGCTGCAAAGGGCCTATTAAAGCTTATTACAACCAACCACTCATACTAGATAATAATAATAATAATAATAAATTCATTTGTAAAGGGCAAATTCAACATACGTTTTCAAATGCGCTACTAAAACCTATATTATATAAAAAACTATAGCCTATAAAATTAAACATATATCTATTAAAAAAAATTCTAAAACTACTAAAAAATTACGAAAACAATAATAAATAATGATAATATTTAAATAGAAAATCCTATTTAACCTACTTAATGTTAAAACCTACTCTTGGCAGATTAAGAAAAAATAGTAATAATTAATAGTATTGGTACGCATATAATTCCAAAGTTCAAGCAAAAGCAAATAAATAAGTTTTTAGTTCCTTTTTGAACTTATTAATTGAGTCAAGGTCCCTTAGATTGTGGTAGTGAATTCCATAGTTTGGGTGCAGCGACACAGATAGCAATAATTAGAGCTAGGATCGTTTGGTTTTGATTTTTGTCATTATACTTTTTCTCTCTATGATAATTTGGTCTACTTCACTGTATTTTTTAACAATTTCACTATTATACTGCTAGTGTTTTGATAGAGTAGTTTTCGTATAACTGTGAAAAACTCAGTGCCATAAGCCTGCTGTGCCATGATAGTGATGTTTTCTAGTGTTTTGATTGGCTGATTTTTTTCTCAAGCAATGTGATGGGCCTGGCAGTTCCATGACGTTGCCGTGACGGTGTCCACGTCATGTTCATGGTGTGCTGCAGGCATTTGATTGGATGAATAGTAAATTCATTGTAATTGATTGTAATTGGTGTATGCCTTGCAGTGTCATGACAGTGTTCATGCCGAGAGCTTGTCACAGTCATATGAATTTGCTCTTTATATTACTAACTGTAATTCATGTTAGTCTTATTATGAATAAGTGAAAATAAGCACACTAATAAACATGCTAATATACACGACAACCCCAGAAAAAATCAGAGAACCAGGATGGGAATCAAACCTCCGACCTTCAGATTATCTAGACGGATGCTCTACCACGTACTGAGCTACTGGAAACTCACATGATTTCTCTGAGAGTTGGGTACACTGAAATCCATCAGTGATAAACCATATACTGAAATCCATCATATCAAATATGTGTATAAATGTGCAATGAAGATAAATATTTATACTGTATACACATCAATAAATAAGTGAAAATAAGCAGGCTAATAAACATGCTAATAAACACAACGACCCTAGAAAAAATCAGAGAACCAGGAGGATGGGAATCAAACCCCTTAAATATAAAGTAACTTAAATATACAGTGCTTTGGACAATAGTGGATATAGACTACTCAAGTGATGACGTCAAAAAAATTAATTTTCGCTTAATATCATATTTTTGGTTAACAAATGCAATAGACAATCAAAAATAGACTTTTACGTGCACCAAATTTGACGAGAATCGGTCAAATATCAGCTGAGATATGGTCCATGCTATCCAATTAAGAAATAATTTTTCTAGTCTAATTATTTCTTGATTGGGGAGCATGAAATTCTATTACCTATTAATCATATAGCTGCCTAATCAATCCCATGTCAACAAGACCTGTCCAATTAAGAAAATAATTGGTCAGTTACCTATATGGGATTAATGAGAAGCTGTATAATTAGAATATATTAATTACCCCGTACAAATCACTGTATTTTCAGCTCTCTTCCAAAAGTTTGGAACCCAGCCCAAAATACAGTGACTTGTATGTGGTAATTATATATTCAAATGGTCATATCTCAGCTGATATTTGTCCGATTCTGGTCAAAATTGGTGTATAAACATCTTTTTTGAATGTCTATAGAAATTAGAGATCAAAAATAATTAAAGCCAAAATTTATTTTTTCATGATGTCACACTTGAGTACTCTATAGCTAGCACTGTATTTATAAAGTTTCGTTATTAATATTAAACATGCTTAATCAAACTGGTAACAGTATAAAAACCTGCAAACAGCTAACTCTAATAACTTTCCCTCCTAGTTTTAATCCTGTTTAAAGATGGTGACCAAACAAAAAAGGATGTGGGATAGAGAAATTACAGTGTAATAACTTAACAARGTTAGTTAATGATGTGATTCTTTGTTTTAAGTTTCATTGATATCAAAGGATCTACGTACTGTGTTACTCATAAACAAAGAAAAAATACCCAAGGGAACAAATATATTGATGTGTTAACTCCACCTATTGAAACGTCAAGGCAAAGTGCCAATTTCTAATTAGTTAGTCATAAAGGGCACTATTAAAACTTGTCAAAAAGATCATGTCGAAAAGGAACCAAAATCTTGTAGTGTTCAAGGTACAACTCGTAGCACAGTAACCAATTCCATTAGAAATTATATAATACAGTACTGTAGCTTTATTTGCAGCACATAACAATGAAAATATGTTTTAAGCTTAGCATTGTTTCTTGATATAGTGCTTAATGATGGCAGCTATGCAGAATAAAAGTGAAAATATTAGCAGACTAAAGATGAAAGGATCAAGAAAGGAAGGATATAGATTAAGAAAGAATACATATAAGTCTCAAATACTTGAATTCTGACCAACAATGAATGACATTTTAAATTTTATTGTTTAGAGAAAAGGTTAAAGTGTATATGACACGAAAACATTTCATCGTTTAAAATGTATAGTTTGTTAATAATGATAAATATGTCGTAATAAAATTTGTTTCAAAAGCTTATTTCTTGAGATATKTGAGAAAATTAAGCCCAATTTGTGACGTCATTTTGTTGACACGTACTCTAGATTCGGTAGAAATGCACTAAATATAAATTGTAATTCTTATAAAATAACAACAAAAGGCATATTCTATTCAGCTTCATTTGATAGCTTACGAAATACTCTTCAAATGGTGGGAAACTGAAAAGTGTACTACCCGAAATTAAGATTCTGCATTCAAACAAATTTCGTGTATTTGCAACTAAATCTGGAGACTTGTAAACAAAATGATGTCACAACCTGTGCTAAATTTTCTTGAATTTCTAGAGAAATACGTTTTTGAAACAAATTTAACTGTGATATTCTTATTCATGCCAATAGAATACACATTTTTAACATTAAAATGTTTTCGTGTCATATGCACTTTAATACTAAGCAATATTTTTATATTGTTAGACAAAGGTTTAGCAAAATATCATGTGTTAGTGGCAAGCGAGCAATATTTATTTGCCAATCCCAAAGGCAGAAGCAAATAACTGCTTGTGAGACTATACACTAACAAATCACAATATATTTTGTGATAACAGAGTTCAATAATATATTGTTTTACCATTCAAATGCTTTTTACTTCCTTTTGTGCTTTGGTTATTTTTGCTGTCTACCAAAAATACCAAGACACAGGGAATTAAGCAAGCCATGTTGACAAACACAACGCGCATATACATACATGTATGCCATTATTATTGCCAATAGTTTTTTTATCAAACAAATTTACTAACAGTGAAAACTTTTTGTAATAAGCTACAATTTTTTTCTTAGAATATATCAAATTATATATCATGCCTATATATTGCCAACATTTTTTTCAAACGAATTTATTAACAGTGAAATACCTTTTTTAGGTACATGTATCAAAAACAAACATGTCTTGATTTGATGTGAATTAAAATAACATTGTAACCAAGTAAAATGTCAAATTATTTCAGTTAAATATATTAGCTAGATGCCATTGCATATGGCATTTTCATAAGCTCAGTGTAAACTACAGAGATTAATAGATTACATCTTATTTTCTCAATCAAGAATCCCATATTGTAAATAGTATAACAAGCACTCKCAAAGATTTTAATCACTAAAAAATAAAAGTATTTCCCACTAAATCTTTCAATAAGTTACTTTTTATCTCTAACATRAGTTTGTTTAAAACAATTTAATGCTCATTTCACAACTGATTAGATAAAAGATACAATTTACAGAGCTTCATCTAGCTGTCATCAATCACATCAATTTATAGAAGTTATTATTTGTTAGCATTTTGACTTGATAAAATAATCTTTAAGTTGGCTCTAAATTAACAAGCATGATATATATAAGCACGTAATATAAAGCATGATCTCATCATAATTTAATACAGTTGTTAGATTGAATGCATTACATGTGGTTTTTAAGAGGCAACTTCCTGTGTTAGCAATGAGTCACACCAATAGGTGTATAGCAAGTCGACAGACTGTAACAGTTTTCACTGTGTAAACAGTTTGTCTGCTAAGGGTGTGAGAGGGAGGTACTGTATACCTATTAGAAGCTAGAAACCATCACTTCACTATATGGGGTGATGAAATCTGAAATTGTTTTTCATTATTTGAAAAACGATACCTTAAAGGAAACTAGCTCCATGGGATGGGATTAATTTCTAAAATCAAGCTGAGTAGAGCTCTCTGGAACAGCTGCTGTTACAGAAAAGAGCTAAGGCGTCAATATGGGAAGTCATGCATGCTTGGCAAAAACTTATATAACAATGATTTATAAACGCATGTGATCGCGACTGCATTAATAAATAATAAAACAATACTTAAAATCTAAAGTTTCAGAAACCTTCTCACTTCCGATGCTTCTGAGCACGTACATGTAGTCATTTTAAAAAGACATCCGTTTTAACTAGTAGGCGTAAGTGGAATAAAGATGTGTAAGTATTTAAAAAAAATGAAACCGGTCTCCGCTATATAATTGAGTCGTTTTATGTGCGCGAAAGATGTTTTAAAAAGGAATTTAACCTTATCAATACTATCATGACGAATTTAACTAAATCTTTCGAGGTCTCCGCAAAGAAAATATCTCAATCGTTTTTTAAAACTGCCTTTAATTTTATTAAAATGCATAGATTTTCTAAACACACAACAATAAAGTTTATACGAAAGAGCTATTACACTCTCAAGGACTCAAAAGCGTACTATGAATGACTAATTACTTGAGTTTCAGCTTCGAACACACAGTTCTCAATTTCTTCAGCATAGGAATRATAAATTTACTAAAGTTTAGACCTTTTAAAAGATCGTGTTTAATCTTTTCAATAGAACCGTCGTGACTCGAAAGTCCAAGGTCGAATATGTTAGGTAGATCTGATCTCTAAACTGAATCATGAGCTTCTTTCCTTTGTAAAGGCTATTGCAAAATCAGGAAATTTAAACAACCTAAATTGAAATCACAACTGAAAAAACTTGATATCCAGAAATAGTATTGGAGTATATTTTACAACTCAAATCACTACTACTTACCAATCGTTGTCGACAAAGGTGACAACTTTGCGCATTCTTGTCTTCTGATCGCAAGGCAGTGAATATTCCTTTATGTCATCTTTAGTGCAGTTCTTAGCACTAGTGATGTGGAGTAGATAGAAGAGAGAGAAGTAGAAGAAGCCGGATAAAGGCGCCATATTCTACGCAGTTCACAGCATCTAACGTGACTCTTGATGCTTTTTGCTGTCCATTCCATTGCCGCGTGATGGACGAGATGGACTGGTTAAAGCGCGCATGCGCATAGATCCCAGAAGAGATTATTTGAACAGTGACTTCATCGGATTTAAAGCAGCTCTTTTGTCCCTCTTTTGTTAAGATAGATGAGTTGAACTGTTTGCATTGTTTGGAAGACCAATCTATTGTCATTAGTATTGTTTTTTAAACCAATCAGGGAACTTTTGGCGTTTAGAATAACCGTCCGCCATATTGGCCGCGCGCTCGCCCCAGGAGATTTGCACCTTTTAAAAAATGGCGGAAATAATAGAGTGCATTCCGTCAAACTGTTGAATAGTGTACGTCACCTAAATTAGTTAAGTAAGTTACTATTTTAGCTGACGTCACCTAAATTTGAAACTACGAGTAAACAGCTACTGAGGATCAGGGGGAGAAACGATGATACAAATGAATGTCTATGCACTCATTCTGGTAAAACTACCCACCGGATTAGCATGACCGTTATTTGGCGCGCTTTTACTATTTTAGGTGACGTCAACTAAATAGTTATCTAAGTTAGATACATTTATCTAACTGTTCAACAATTTGACTGAATGCACTCTATTAAAGACTGATCAGAAAGCTCGTCCGAAGTCAAACTCTTTGACTAGCAAACCTCCCATGTGACCGCGGAGCGAGTTTTTAATATGGGGGGGGGGGGGGG